AAAGTTCACTTCTACTGATCCGCCTTGCGATCTAAATCCAACGCAAGGGTATAGATTGTCTTCCAAATCGTTAGGTAAATGGCATGCAATTCTTTAAAATATTTTATAATTATTGAATCTTTTATTTACGTTAAAAGATATAAACTTCAATTTCTAAAATGATGGCTACCCAAGTTAATTCCATTTTTAGTATAAAATTTTATCTTATTTTTAAAATTTAGATAACATCCAATTATATCACCAGTAGTATATCCAGGAGGATCTAAAAAATCATATAGCTCACCACTTCCTGAATAAAACGAATATCCGTCGTCACCGTGGTAACCACACCGCCATGATTCATTTTTCTGTCCTAAAAGATATGATATAGACGTTAATCTATAATAAGAATATAAAATAAATACTTGTTATTACCAGGCATGAAAATATTATTCATATAATTTGAATCGTCAATTTTTTTATCGGTTGTTTTGTACAATATCCAATCCTTCTATTAAGAAAATAGAATTAAATGATTATAAAAATTACTAGAACAAAAGGTGATGTTTATGGTACGAAATAATTATTAATATTACCCATTTTTTCCTTTGTTTATAATTTTAATTTCAAAGTAAAATTTCCCACATTCTGAAGGGATTGGATTATTTGCTCGAACGATTACAGCTTTATAGTCATCAGGATCTTTAATTAAATGATTTTTAATAAATTAAATAGCTGAGATATTCTTTTAAATGCCGATGATTATCATAACACATTAAATATGTTTTAGCGAGATTTCATTTCATATTACCTGTACAACTCACTTTAAGTCCACTTGAATCTATGTCAATAAATGGTGATTTATTTTCAATATCCCATGCAGTCGGTAAAACAATGTCATTGTATGAAGTTATAAATTTTAAATCTTCCATTGCTGTAGGTTAAAATTCAATTCGGGCCTTTTGTTAACGAACGGTGAACATACAAAAGTAATTTTAAACACGTATTTATGTATGCATGTTTGTATACCGTATTACAGAAGTGTATTCATAACTTTTCCCTGCCGTGATTTTTGACAAATCAAACTTCAAGATCAGGTTTAACATTTTTTACAAAAAAAAAAACAGAGATAGCTCGAAATTTTAATTAAGAAACCACCTTCTGCGGCCTAATTAAAAAATGCATCTCGTAAAAATTTACTAATAGAAACTCTATTGTCCTAACCATAACCTAAACTACGACGTTTTATTCTCAGTAAATATTACAATTTTTGTGGATGCAGATAGCTGCGGATAAGGATTTGACTTTGTGTAATATAGTTATTGAATGCGAAGCAGAAAATAAGTAATAGTTTCCTATCGCCCATTAACAACGAAGCTCCACAGTATTATGTGAACGTGATGAAATGATGTTGTTGGAATAAAAATGATCAGCAAAAGAACTCTGAAGTTTTAACAAAACTAAAAATACTTAAGCATATCAAAGATTTTGACATAAATGCAACAGCAGTAACAAATTAATTGGTTTATAATATCTAGTTAAAAATAAGAATAAAGCCTCTTTACATTTTCTAAATGGAATTTAAATACCATTTAGTCATTATCAAGAGGTTATATTAAAATACACAAAAAAAAAAAAAACCTCTAAGCAATGATTGAGTTCGAACGTGTCTTGAAAGCGAATTCAGTTTAGATCTTTAAATATGTTATGACAATTCAATCTATATTCAATAAAATAGATAGATGAAAAATAAATGTTAAATGTGTAGGAAAGGTAACGTGAGTGCAAACCAATTAAACTTCGAGTTTGATTTCGTCGATAGTCTCAAAACGCCATTTTCAAAGTAAGATACTTCAAAAGTTTTGGCATAAAAGGAAAAAAGCATAGATAGTATAAAAATATGAATAACAAAAATTTTTTGTTATAATAAAAAAATATATACTAATTATATTGTAGGATGCAAATGTTAACTTAGAAGTAAAAACCGTCTTTTTTTACAAAACATATAGATCGATATGTGCTCAACTGCAGATCCTTAATTTTCTGACAACAAATATTGTAGAACAATTATTTTTTTTCATTAGACTCCGATAATCGATATCTACGTTCGTTCTGCACTAAACTGCAACTAAAAGATATCAGAAATCATTCTGTAAAACCTTAAGATTCTATCTACTACAATCTCAATTATCTGTGATAAGCTTAAAAATAAGAATGTTAACCCATAAATTTCCACATAAAAAATTCTTTGTGGTATCGTTAATAACAAATAAGGATATTCTGAAAAGCGAAATATAGATGTTTGTTTATATTATAAATAGGAGATAGTTTCACATTTTAAAAGCTTAAATTGGCAGATATAAAATTAAACCTTTCATACAAAGAAATTAAAATATCCCATTGCTGCATTTTGTTATGAGACCTCAAACTATGCATTTTTTGAATGGTCTCTCATCCTATACGACGTTGCTTTTGATGCTATCACTTCCTTGAATAGAATAATCTTCAAACTTTGGTCTAAATTGCATATGGGGTAACGAAAGACATGTTTTACTGAAACTTAAATTACAAGATGTCATGGACAGTTATAAAACCTGGTGAATACTATGAAAAAGGAAATCCAATTGGATGCATAAATGTTGTGGATCAATTAGTTCCTTAGTATTCGAATTCTTTATAGACAAAATTTACAACCAACAATCCGTCTTGCAACAAAAGAGAACAAGAATTGGAAATTGATAGGATTGATGGATGATCCGAATTTCAACCTCTCGCCAAAAATTGCACCACAGTTGAAATTGCTATCATTTGGACAAACAGTATAAAACAACGGATTAAACTTTAGGATAGGGCCAAAAGAACTTAAAGCTAGGGGTAGTGCTTGGATCCAATGATGTGATCCGTTGATCGGCAATCCGGTTAACTAACTGTAAAAACTATAACTATAGTTATCTATTAAAGCTATAGCTATAGTAAGCTATTAAAACTATACAAAGAAATTATGCGAATTGATATTGTTTGATATTGTGGAAGATTACCGGCCGCTAAAATCTTTTTTTTGATTTTATGCGATTGTACTTGATTTTTCTAAACAATAGCACCCCCTTTCCTAAGCTCGAATTACTGTTATGTAGGATAAAATCGAAGACTTTATGTGATAAGAGGATATACTCAACTAAATGTATATAAAGATACAAGTAGTCATATAGTTAACAACAATATATATGTCTTACGTTGGAATGGAATTATTGTAGATTTAGAATCCACCTAGGTTTATTCCAAATAAACTTAGATTGTAACAGAATTTTAAAATGTGTGCCCAAGTTATTAAAGAATTCCAATTCAGCTTACAACAAAATTATGTATGTTGCTCTTAAATAACCATTAATTCAAAATTAACGTACCTGAGTTTAAAATTTATACCGATTAAAATATAACATACGTAGTTTTAAAAATTATACGATTAATATGTAATGTATGTACGTTAATTAAAAAGTTTAATATAAGAGTATAATAATTTAGATTGATTATTAAAAAAAAAAAAAAAAAAACATTCTTCGCTATTTTTCATAATATGGCTTCAAATTCTTCGCTAGTTTTTTCATTTCTTTCAATTCAAAGTTTTCAAAAAATCGTTCATGACTACATGAACAATAGAAAAAATGAAAGACATATAATGAATCGTTCAAAGTATGATCATTGCCTAGCTATTTTACGAAGCCCGTTAAGTAAACATGAAGATTCAAACTTCAAATATTGGGTTCTTAATACCTTTAATATAATTAAAGTTGGAATTATTGATGAACTGAATGTTAAATCTGATAAACATAATCGTGGTACTCAAGTTTGCCCAATTGAAGATTTTTATACTGTTATTTGCAAAGCTTATCAAGACATAGAACATGGCAAGCAAGATAAAACTTGGTTAAAAGGTATTAATTTTTTTTAATATGTAAATAAAATAAAATTATATATGTAATATATTAATATAATATGTATAATTAATAGATCCGTCAAAGATATTGTTTTATACCCCAAACAATTGTAAATAATGCTGTAAAGCAATGTAATGTTTGTACTACATGTCATGCAATTAAACATGTTCCAGCAATGAGACCAATTATCGCTACAAAATTCCTTGCACATGTTCAGGTAAATTATTAAATTATTATTTGAAATTTAATAATTAAATTTTAATTTTAATAATAAAAATTTTTTTTAAAGATCGACACTATTAATATGACAGCTGTGCCAGATAGTGAATTTAATTATATTATTCATATAAGAAATCATTTTACATAATTCTCATATGCAGAGTCAGCTAAATCAAAATTAGCAGAAGAGGCTGCAAGTATTTTCCAATGGCTCTGTTTATATTATGGTCCGCCAACCATTTTACATACAGACAATGGCAGTGTGTTTGTTGGAAATATTATAAAAGAAATTGTAAAACTCTGGCCAGCAATTAAATTTATATATGGAAAGCTGAGGCACCCACAGTGCCAAGGATCTGTCGAAAAAGGCATTGATATACTTCAATCCAAATTAAAATCATGGATGGAAGAGACTAAACGTAGTGATTGGAGTATTAGATTATTATTTGTAATATATAAATATCTTTATTATATATATAATTTTTTATGTTTTTGTAATAAAATTATTTAATTATATAAACTATAGGGACAATAAATACCCAAGAATATAAAGCAACAAAAGCTACACCATATTAATTGGTATTTGGACAAGAAGCATGTTCAGATTTACCAGTAATCTTTATGCTTTATCAGCAAAATATTACACATAAAGAAAATATTCTATTAGAAAATCAACCATCTAATAATGATATTCAATCGTCTAATTTTATTCATGATAATACTCAATCATCTAATTTTATTCATAATGATACTCAATCATCTAATTTTATTTATGATAATACTCAATCATCTAGTTTTATTCATGATAATACTCAATTGACTAATCTTATTTACAGTAATACTCAATTATTTTCTATTCATGATGATACTCAATCATCTAATTCTACTTATGATGATATTCAACTATCTAATATTACTTATGGTGATATTCAATTATCTAATTTTATTTATAAATGTAATATTTTTTTTTTTTAATTTCACAATACTAATTATTTTATAAAATTTTAGCATTTGAGTCTTCAAATCATAATAATTACAACAATGTAATTGTAATTAGTAATGATGAGGAAAATGATTCTGAATATAATTCTAATTGACAAAAAAAAGGGTAAACAGGTTAAATGAGATATAATTGATGATGTGAATTCAAATATATTTTTTTTATATATTCATATATTTAGTAAAATTACTTTTAATTTACTAAAATATATTTTATAATTTTATTAGCTTTCATTGGCTTATAATAATATTATAGATATTAATAATGAATAATATAGCTAAAAATTTATCTCCTACACCATCAAATTCATCATTAAAAAATTATTCTTGTGCAAGTTTTAGTTAATATACACAATTAAGAGAAGCAGCAAATCAACATGTTGCTCAAAACCATCAAATGATTTATAATCTTATGAAAAAATGATATAAAACTAAAAAACAGATGTTAAATTTGAAACTTGGTGATCTTGTAAAGATTCAGATTCCTGATATTGATAAGCTAAAAATGAATAGATGAGCATTACCATATAAAGTTATCCAAAAAAAAACAAATTGCAACTCATATCAAGTTGGATGCAAGTTTGGAATTTTGGATATATGGTTTTCAGCAAATGAATTAGAATCCTTAAATACTAATAAATTTTCTGAACTTGATGTAATCTCAATGGGCAAATTTATTTCTTTATAAAATGCTGGTGCTCAACAAAACTTAACCTGACCACTTAGACCACTTCAAAATATTACAAATAAAATATTTAATCAAGAAACTGAACAAGGTTTAAAGAAAAATAATGGCTGTCATTGTAATAAAACAAATTGTAAAAGTAGAAGTTGTTTTTGTTATAAGAAAAATGCTCTTTGTACTTTTCATTGTGGTTGTATTCGCTGAGGTTCATGCAAAAATCATTAAGTTTTATTGAACTACTTTTTATCTGATAGTTTTTAGATTGCACAATATAGTGCTTAGCAATTGTTTAATCTTCAACATGTAGTAATAATCGTAATGGAGGTCAAATGCAATAATTAATAAAAATAATTTGATAGTTTTTTTTTTTTTTAAATTATACTGATACTGATTAAAATATAAAGTAATTTAATTTACAATTTTGAAGAATTTGTACATCAATTTTTAAATGATGGAAATTTGAAAGTGACATCTAACATATAAATGTATTTATATAATATGAACTTAAGAAGGATAGTTATAGTAATTTATTAAAAATTTTACAATATCTTATATTATAGAGATGAAGATTTTTTTTCAATTTATAAATTTTAAATTGCACATTGTTTATTGTTACATCAACGCTTCCTTAAATAAACAATTTATTCGTATATTCAAATGTTATTTTTAACCAAAAGAATTTTTATATTATATATATATGTTAAATTTTTAAAAATGATATAATAGCCAGATATTGGGGTATTCCACACTAAATGATAGTGCAGCACTATATAATTGGCCTCTATATAAGATTTTTAAAATTATGTCGATCAATTTATTACAATAGAGATAGCATATTACCTTATAATAAAAACTGTGTATTTTTAAAATGTTATAGCTCTCTTTCTAGTAAAGCAAATCTGATTCTGTAACTTGCAAACAATATAAAAATAGTGTAGTTTTAAAACTATATTGAGATATTTTTTAATTCATTTTATTAATTGGCTAAACTTATAAATTTAATAAATTTTAATAGTTGTTTAACGATTAAATAATAGAAACCTGCTAGATTTTATATATTAATATTAAATATGGCAACATAGTTTGAAGCCAGTTTATTTTTATATTATTAGCAAGTTACAAAACTGAATTTGCTTTATTAGAAAGAGAGTTATAATATTTTAATAGTAATATTTAAAAATTTATATATTAATATTAAATATGGCAATATAGTTTTAAAATCACACTATTTTTACATCATTTACAAGTTACAGAATCGAATTTTCTTTACTAAAAAGGTAATTATAATATTTTAAAAATATATAGTTTTTATTATAATTAATTTTTTTAATAAATTGATTGACAAAGTTTCAAAAATCTTATATAGTGGGCCAATTATATAATGCTACACTATGTTTGTAAATCATTTAGCGTGGAACACCCCAGCCAGATATCACTATATCCCAAATGTTGATATAAGCACATCTTAAATCTGTGCCAGATTACACTGATTATATCAATTACCTGTCTAACCCTTATCCCACCGTCAGTTCTAGACTATATTTCTGACTGATTAATTGTTTAATTAATAAACTTTTAATAAACTTGTCTATTATATAATTATTATGATATTTAAATAAAGAGAAATAACATACAGTCAGAAAACTAAGTATTTACATTTTGTGTATATACGTGCATACCAACACTTGCAGCAATGCTTCAATTAATTTATTAAAGCAAATTATATTAGCGAAAGTAGTGCTCGGCAAAACCAAACAAAAACTCGATTATCGAGTTTTTGAATCTAACAATTTACAATATTGGGAATTAAATACAAATTTTATTTTTTAGTATATATATAAATCTAATAGGAACCCGAACTTACTTTAGTCTTCATGGTAACTAACATGAAGTTTAAAGTCAGATTAGAGTAAAAATAGATTTTATAATTGAAGCACAATACTACAAATCGATAGATTCAAAAACTCGATAATCGAGTTTTTGTTTGATTTTGCCGAGTACTAATCCAATTATTCTATTTAAATTCTTATCAAATAAAAAAATATTTTGATATTAATTATATTAATTATAGTAGTATTATAAATAGTTTCTCATATTTACAAAATAAATTATATAAGCAATTAAAGATTGTAACAAATAATCTTAAGTTTTATTAGAGTTCTTAGATTTAGTTTAGTTTAGTTTAGATTCAGTGAACCTGAACCTAAACCTAAACATAAACTATAAAATTTGCAGATTATTGAACCTAAACCTGAACTAAACTTCGAATTTATAAACCTAAACTGAACCTGAATTTAAAGTTTTGATTTCAGTTCAAGATTTATGAACATATTTAGATTTAGTAGTAGTTTAATAACAAAATATAGTAAAAATTTTTTTTGTTTTTAAAATTTTCAAATTTGAAGTTTTTTAAAGAAATTTTTTTCTTTACTAAGTAAATCCATTTTCAACTTCTAAGAAAAGTTGTAGAGAAGTATTTGCAATTAAAATAATAATTAAAATATTAAAATCAATCTAGTAGATCATGAGATATAAGTATTTTAGTTCTCACAACTATATATTTTTTTCTTAATATAAATAAAGAAGAAACAAATAGCTTTAAAGAGAAAAATACTTATATTTCATGATCTACTAGACCAATTTTAATGATTTAACTGCTATTTTAATTGCAAGAAACTTCTCTACAACTTTAATTAGAAGTTAAAAAGATATTTACCTTTTAAAAATTTAAGATCAATAATATTTTACATAATTTTATTAATAAAATTATAAAAAATATTATAATTCTCAAAATTTTATTAATTAATTATCAGCATATATTCATATTATAATTTTAAATTTTAAGAAAAATAATTTTAATTTTAAAAATTTTGATCAAAAATTCAAAATTAAGCATAGTTTTTTTAAATTTTATAAATATAAAATAAATATTTATCAATATGATGTATTCTTATATATATAACAAGTTTATTTAAAATATAAATATAGAATTAATTAATAAACTTTCGAGTATACTAATATTTTTTATAATTTTATTAATAAAATTATAAAAAATCATATAATTCTCAAAATTTTATTAATTAATAATATATTTATATTCTAAGTAATTCTGTTCTATATATAAAAATATATTATATTGGTATATGTTTACTTTATATTTGTAAAATTTAAGAAAACTATATTTAATTTTGAATTTTGAGTAATATTTTCAAAATTAAGATTATTTTTTTTAAAATTATAATATAAATATATACTATTATAGTATAGTTTTATATATAAAACAAGCTTATTTAGAACTTAAATATATTATTAATTAGTAAAATTTTGATGATTATAATATTTTTTATAATTTTATTAATAAAATTATACAAAATATTGTTGATCTTAAGTTTTTGTGAAATAAATATCTTTTTAACTTCTAATTAAAGTTGTAGAAAAATGTCTTGCAATCAAAATGATAGTTACATAATTAAAATTGGCCAAGTAGATCACAAGATATAAGTATTTTTCTTTTGATAGCTATTTGTTACTTCTTTATTTATATAAAGAAAAAAATATATAGTTACAAGAACCAAAATACTTATATCTCGTTATCAACTAGGCTGATTTTAATATTTTAACTACTATTCTAATCGCAAGGCATTTTTCTACAACTTTTCTTAGAAGTTGAAAATAGGTTTACTTAGTAAAAAAAAAGATTTTTTAAAAAAACTCTAAATGTAAAAATTCTAAAAACAAAAAAAAAATTTACTATATTTTGTTACTAAACTACTACTAAACCTGAACATATTCATGACCTTTGAATTAAATCTAAACTGTATATAAACCTGACTTAAAAGTTCATATTAAACCTAAACTAAATATGAACTTGACTTAAAAGTTCAATATTAAATAACTAAAGTTCAGTTGTATATCTGAATCCTGACACACAAAATCCCAACACACAAAATCCTGGCAACAAAATCCTGATATACAAAATTTCAACAAATTAAAATCCTAAAAATATTAAAATTAGGAATTTAATTTGTCAGAATTTTGTGTATTAAGATTTTGTTGCCGGGATTTTGTGTGTCAGAATTTTGTATATCAGGATTCTGATATACAACCCCAAAGTTTAGTTCAGTTCAGGTTTATAGAAACACTAGTCTTACTTTTAATATTAAAAAAAATTGCAGTAGATTGCTATGATATATTTTTTAAAAAGATATTTTATACTTTATACTAAATATATAAAATTTTTTGTTTATTTAAATTGTAGTATTTTATATTAATATAGTTATACTATACTTGATTGTATATTTAATATTTATTTATTTAAATTCTAATCTATAACTTATAACTTTTAATAAAGCTAATATATATCTGTTTCTGCTTTAGTATAACAATATTGTATAGCTATTTATTTTATTTTAT